GGAATTCTGCCGGCTGGTTGCCAGAGATTTAATGATTAAAGCCAGTATGCTAGAAACTTTGACAAGGAACCAAGAAAAAGGTCTGTGCCCTTTTAGAGTTTATTATACCAACTACCAAATAGCAGTTTACAAAAGGCACAAATAAGGTGTAGGAAACTGAGATAAAAATGAAACATAGCAGGAGATGGGAGATAGAAGGACATAAAAAAGAACTGTTGAAGGCCTTTGAAGGAAAAGACAGGATGAAGGATAAACAGAATAGGAAAAAAATCTAGTGCATGCTAAAGGTTGACTTCCTCATCATAAAGTATATATATATAAGAACTATTGAACTGCACAATAAGTTTCTAAATACTTTGAGTAAGTTCGCACTGTGACACCGAAATTTATACAGGGGGTTGTCACCGTTATTTACACTTCATTTTAAAAAGAAACGCTATTTTGGAAAAAAATAGAATCACATTTGAAAGGACCTTGAAAGATCATCTTGTTCCTGGCAAAGGCATACAGCTGTCAGCCTCCAGCTGTTAGCATTTACAGGACTAAGTGGAAATCCGCCTCAGATTTCCAACCAAGGTCACACTCTACAAAGTCATGACCCAGCCAGTAACTAACCATGGCAGGGGTACCAAGGCCAGGCCTTGTGTGCATAACACAGAACTTCTCTTTGCCTTTTGCCCCAAAGCCCGCTTTTATATTGGCCAAGACTTTGTCAGATCTACATACCAATCTGAAGCTTCCTCAGCCCAATCCTGCTCCCCCCCACCACACACACACACACACACTTTCCTATTGTAGGGATAAGATCAGCATCCCCTTCCCTTTTGTAATAAGAAAGAAATCAGGCAAGAGGAGACTTTTGCAAGATCTTAGAGCCATAAATGCCACCATGGAAGATATGGGCTCCTTACAACCTGGATTGCCCTCCCCAGTGGCAATTCCACAGGAGTATTGTGTTGTTGTTATTGACTTACAGGATTGTTTTTTTCACTATACCTCTTCACCTGGCTGATTTTCAAAGATTTGCATTCAGAAAATTTTAAACAGCCTTATCAGAGATATCAATGGAAGGTTCTCCCACAAGGGATGAAAAATAGTCCTACATTTTGTCAAAAGTTTGTAGATCAGGCATTGCAAGTTATTAGAAATAAATTTTCAGATCTATATCTTATTCATTATATGGATGATATTTTACTAGCTCATAAAGATTGGGTTACTTTACAGGAAATTCTTACACAGACCGTCCTTGCTTTAGAAAAACATGGGCTAAAAATAGCCCCAGAAAAGATTCAGACTGAACCTTCTTTTTCCTACTTAGGCAGAATATTACATACCTCTACTATCACCCATCAGCCTTTACAATTAAGAAACGATCATTTAAACACATTAAATGATTATCAGAAACTATTAGGTGATATCAACTGGGTCAGGTCATATCTAAAAATAACCACTCTTGACTTAAAACCTCTATTTGACATTTTAAAGGGAGATTCTAACCCTAAGTCTCCCCGAAAATTAACTGTAGAAGGAGAAAAGGCTATAGCAAAAATAGAACAGGCCATCAATAAACAGCAACTATAGTATCTAGATTATTCCAAATCTTGGACCTTAATTATTCTAGCCACTAAATATACTCCTACAGGATGCTTATGGCAGGAAGGACCATTAGAATGGATACATTTACCCGTCACTCCTAGGAAGATTGTAACATCCTATCCCTCCCTAGTGGCCACTCTCATTATCAAATGTAGATGACGAAGTATCGAACTCTTTGGAAGAGAAGTTACTGAGATAATAATACCTTATAAAAGAGAACAATTAGACATACTATTACAATTTGAATAAGAATGGCAAATAGCTATAGGTAACTTCCCAGGACAAATTTTACATCATTTGCCAAGATCACCTATATTGCAATTTCTCTCCCTACATCCGTTTATATTTCTGATTAAATGTTCAAAAGAGCCATTATCACCTCCTGCCTCCTTAGTATTCACAGATGGTTCCTCTAGTGGTAGGGCAGTAACAATCATTGACTCAATAACCCATGCTCAACAAACCCTAGAGACATCAGCCCTGAGAACAGAGCTTTTGGCAGTCATTTATGCTTTTGAACAATTGCAATAGGTTCCCTTTAACTTGTATACTGACTCTCAATATATAGTTAAATTATTTCCTCATATTGAGACCGCCTCTCTCCCACAAGGAAGAACAGCCATTTTCTCTTTGTTAGCTCAGCTACAAACTTACATTCACAAACGAGAAAAGGCTTTCTATATTGGACATATTAGAGCTCATTCCTGCCTACCAGGACCCTTAAGCGAAGGAAATTATCAGGCGGATTTACTAACTCGCCCAGTAGTTTGTACAGCTCTAGAAGAAGCCCGGCGGTCTCATGCCATTCACCATCAAAATGCTTCTGCTCTCCGTCTATATTATCGCATATCTAGAGAAGCTGCTCGAAGTATTGTGCGTGACTGCGGCCATTGTCCTACTCATTTTCCTAGCCCTGCTACTGGAGTTAATCCAAGAGGACTTAGACCCTGTGACTTATGGCAGATGGATATTACTCATGTCCCATCTTTTGGCAAACTGTGCTATGTGCATGTTTGTATTGATACCTTTTCTCATGTTATCCTTGCTTCAGCATGTACAGGAGAAGCCTTTAAAGATGTAAGTCAACATTTATTCCAATGTTTTTCCTACCTAGGAATACCAAGGGCACTTAAAACAGACAATGGGCCTGCCTATACCTCTAGAGCTTTTAAAAACTTATGCTCTACATTCGACATCGCACATACTACAGGAATACCCTACAATCCTCAAGGCCAAGCAATAGTAGAAAGGGCTCACCAAACTTTAAAAACACAAATTAAAAAATTACAAGAAAACGAGCTTAAATATTCATCTCCTCATCATGTTCTACAACATACTCTATTTGTAATTAATATACTAAATGTAGATTCAGAGGGAAATTCCCCGATGTACAGACATTGGAACCCTGATCTAACCAAACCTAAAGCCCTCGTCAAATAGAGAGAATTACTTTCAGGACTTTTAGCCTGGGGGCGAGGATATGCATGTATATTTCTACAGGACGCAGACTCACCTGTGTGGATTCCAGACCATCTAGTCCAACCTTATGTCTCACCACCCTCCTTCTCAGTCTCATCCTCCTCCTCCCCGGTATCATCCATATCAGCCAACTCAGGGCACAGCTGACTCCTCCCCGGACACCGACACCACCATCAAGCGCGGCCCTGATGGACCCTTTGATCCAGCCGTTCAACACGCTGACACTTCGGGAAGGTCGCCACCAACTTGGTGACAGCTGAAATCCTTAACTGAAGAGGCCAGCAACCTTCTACAGGAACAAGGCTCTGTGTACACTCCATCCACTATGTTTATTGCTATGCTCGCTATTATTGCTTGTCAGTCTTCTGAGTCTTAAACAACCCAATCCGAGAGGTGTCCGCTGATTTACAGGTGCTATCATTTAAAAAATTAGAAAGGGGGAAATTGCCAGAAGCCGGTCTATCCTTGCTGCTTGACACAGTCACTGCAGGGAAGAAACATCTGTACAGCATATGTTTCAAGGGACCTGGCATATATGGCATACTGTTCTTAATATGTTTGCTCCCCTTCTTAGCGCTATGTGTTTTAACCAAGGTCACCACTCCAAGAAAGGTTGTTTTCCCAGGTGGGAATTTTTCCCTGGAGTTAGGGCTTAACAGGACTAAGGAGAGGAATAAAACCTCTTAACTAAGTCCCCGGTGGGTAATTAATCACTTTAACTATGAACAATCACCTTTAAGCTACATAATCTTTACTTAGGATAATCTCCTTCAGTTACTTCCTTGTGTTGAACAGAACAATAGAGTAGTGACTTTGGAATAGAGATAACAAACGCCCTAACCTTTGGAATAGAATGGATAGGATTAAAATCAACTGGTATAAATACAGATATAACAGGAGAATAAAGACAGAACTTGGCTGGAGATCCTGGCTAGAGAACCTGGCTAGGCTGCTGATCAACTGAACGCTGTCTCCATGCCATTCCTTCTTCACTGACTCCGTCCACACCTTTGGGAACCCCTGGACCTGCTGGGGTTGGACCCCAACACCCAGGCTACCTTTGGCAGAGGTCAAGGTCAGAGGGCCCTGGTGTGAGGAAGGAATCACCTTACCCACAACAGGTGCAAGTTGACACTTCAAGTCAACTAAAGATGCCTGTGGACTAAAAGGGGACCAAATACTAAACCTGACAAGCTCAGGGGAGGCCTGCATGGTGGGTCTCACAAACTGAGACCTAAAGTAACCGCATAGTACTGTCTGAAACTAAAACTTCCTAACTAAAAGTGAATTGTGGTGGGTAGTCCTGTCCTAGACCAGTATCTTCTTGACAAAAAGGTCCCTCTCTACTGAGCCTATCTACTGTCACTGTCTTTTTGCATCTATGAATGTCAGAATAATTCCCTTTTGCCATACCCCTCAGGGCACAATCTCCCTCCAGAGCAGGGAGCAGACCACAGAACCACCACCCCCCCTCCCCCCATTCTTGTCTGGTTCCACCTCTGTGTGTTGTAAATGCCCCACCGTTATAAATAGATGTGTCTATTCATTTTTTTATCCAATCCCAAGGACTGCCGGCTTTGCTTTCTCCCACCTCCTTAATCTATCATCAATGGATTTCATGCAACCCCTTGGGCCTCCTCCTTCGGGTGGAATGAATAAAATAAGGTGCAAAGCTGCCATTCCCTGGAGGCATTTCCCCAACCCGTTGAGATTTTGCTCTCCGGCAATTGTCGTCAGTTTGGCTCAAATGAACTTTTAAATCTTCTCTGCAGGTTTAAACGTTTCTCAAGTTGACGTGCCCAGAACCCCAGTGAGGGGAAAGCTCCTGCCAGAGCCAGGTCCCACGTGTCCGCCCCGCCCACCCACACACCCTCTGCGCGTGCGCAGCCCCCGCCCGCCAGTCAGGACTCCAGGCATCCCCGCCCCTCAGACCGGAAGCGGCTGCGGGCGCTTCCTGCGCTCCCCGGGCCGTGGGGTTGCCTAGCGATGTCCTGGGTCCCAGCAGCTCCCGGGGTCCGGGGCGGCGGAGAGGAGGGGGAAGTGTTCGACGAGGAAGCGGACGAGTCGCTCCTGGCGCAGCGGGAATGGCGGAGCCAGATGCAGAGACGAGTGAAAGTAAAGCTGCGCGGGCGGCCGGCGCGGGGTCCCTGCTGGGCTGGGTTGCGGGGAGGGGCGCGGGCTGGTGAAGAATCTGGGCCGGACCTGGGAGGCCGGAGTGGTCTGGCCCGGCCCACGGCGGCCCGCATCCTGCCAGGATCGCCCAGGGGGGTCCTTTAAGGCAGTGGTTCTCAACCTCCTGGCCCTTTAAAGACAGTTCCTCATGTTGTGACCCAGCCGTAAAATGATTTTCGTTGCTACTTCATCACTGTCATGTTGCTACTGTTATGAATCGTCATGTAAATAGCTGATAGGCAGGATGGTCTTAGGCGACCCCTGTGAAAGGGTCGTTCCACCGCCAAAGGGGTCGCGACCCACAGGTTGAGAACCGCTGCTGAAGGCGTGTGAACCACCGCTCGCGCGCCCGCGGGTGGGTAGGCGCAGGGTCCGACCGCAGGGAGCCGTGCACACTTGGAAGAGGTTGGGGTTTGCCGAGGGCCGCAGGGGCGCGGAGGGGGATGTAGATGCTGACGGTGCTGGTTATGGCTGTCAGAGGACGTGTGCGGTTCGCAGGGCTGCTTGAATGGGTGAGGAGCCCACGGTTCGGGGTGATGTTAACCCGGGTACGTACATGGAAACATGGGTGTAAGGATGTTGTCAGAGGGCTATACGGGGAGGCTAATTGGAATACTGGTGACCGGGTGAGAAAGCATTAACGTTGGGGGTTTTTATCTCTTAGGTGTGGTTTGCCCGTCTCTGATTTGATTCACTTTTCATGAGATTAAGCTTCATACCACACCCCCCGTTGCCAGGTGGAGCCCTGGCACCAAATGGCGAGGTCCACTTGCACTCACTACCATTGCCAATCATTAAACTGCCCTGAGCCTGCTTTTATTTAATATTTCAGTCAAATAATGGCTGAGCCCAACGACCATGTTGTCGATTTCAGAAACGCCGTTGGTGAGGCTGGGGCATCTTTTGAGCATCTTTTGCGCGGGGTGAGATGCAGGACCTAAAGCCCTGCCCGCCGTGGATTTGCCGTTTAATTGAATGTAGATATCAAGCAGAATTTCTAAAGCTGGATTTTTTATTTTCCTTTTGCTAAACCAGTTTCCTCGTTCCCTCCTTCAGCTAATTATCCAAGGCCTTTGATAACCCTACTTACTGCCTTGCTTCCTCACCTACCATACCAAGCCAATCATTGGCAAAGGGGCCAGGCATGAAATTCTCCATGTACCCTTTCTGTGAAGCCGCTGCCAACACAGGATGTTAATGGGATAGAGTCTATCCCGTGGTCGGCAAACTGCGGCTCTTTGGCCCCTTGAGTGTGGCTCTTTCTAAGCCTTAGGAGTACCCTAATTAAGTTAATAACAATGTACCTACCTATATAGTTTAAGTTTAAAAAATTTGGCTCTCAAAAGAAATTCCAATCATTGTACTGTTGATATTTGGCTCTGTTGACTAATGAGTTTGCCAACCACTGGCGATAGACCAATAATATATTTATATGAGAAATATAGTCCAGTCTACTTTGTGTAGCTACGCCATATGTTTTAGAACCATGATGTTAAATAACACAGGAAAAGCTTGTTTTCATTAATTTTCTAAATTGATTCTATGACTTTCTAGAAACTCCGATAGTGGTTCACTTGATGTTCGTTACAGCTGCAGTTCTTCATTACTTATTTTTAGGAAGGCTATAGAGATGGACTACAGGCTGGCAAAGCAGTTGCCCTTCAACAAGGCTTCAATCAAGGTTATAAAGAAGGTGCAGAAGTCATTATAAACTATGGACAACTCAGAGGAACGCTGAGGTAATTTTTAAAACTTAAATCTGGAGTCATTTTAACCTCAGGACTACTGGGAGATTTTTATAAAAGTAGTATGTGAAAACCAAAGTGTTTAAACGAAAGTGCTTTTTCTGGTGTTAAATCCACAAGAGGGCTGCAAAGCATTAGAATAATATTGCCTTCAAAAAGTCAAGATTATCAGTTCATCCCACTTTAATATGTGAGCCAGGTGTCCTTTATAGCAAAGAAAAGATAGAAGGTGTGTATTTTTTACTACCTGAACTATCACCAGTCTATATCTCAACGTCATTTAAAGGATCTTGAGGTTTTGAATAAAGCTTTTAGTCTTGCACATGTGGCAGAACACAGTATGACAGAAGTCTATACTAGAAGTACATGATGAAAATTATAGCTGGTAATAGAGAGAAAAATTATCCCATTTACTTTAATCCTGAACATCGAATACCTGCCAAAATCCCATAGCAGTAATGCCATATTTTAGAGCCAGTAGTCAAATGGCACGTGGAGCTAAGAGCATGACATAGTTGTCCTTTTTGATACTCTGTATCAGGGGTCCTCAAACTGCGGCCCATGGGCCACATGCGGCCCGCCGAAAACATTTATCCGGCCCTCTGGGTGTTTTTGCCGCCGCTGCCTGTCCTGCTTAGCAGCCAGCTCGTCCAGGCCCGCAGTGCACATGTGTGGAATGTCTGAGGGACAGTGAACTGGCCCCCTGTTTAAAAAGTTTGAGGATCTCTGCTCTATATCTTTTAAATTGCCCTCAATAGAGAAAATGCTGCAAAGAATCATTGACTTTTTAAAGGGTAGAAAATAAGTTATCAAAACAACAAAAATGTATTGTTTAAGGTTTTAGAAAATTCAATGGTAAGAATCAATATGTATCCTACTACCATAGGAAAATGATCATCTTTATCTTTACATCAGGTTAAATCCTTTATAAGCTTAGAAAGCTTATTGCTAAGTCTTTTTCATCATTTGATTCCATTTTAAAACATCATTACTTTTCACAATCTTTTTATGTCATATCTGAACTATCAAAAAAAAAGTACTATCTATACTAGAAAAGTAAGAAAAATATTTATTAGGAATAGAATGATTTTTACCTTCTTCAAGAAAATTGTTAGCTCAGCAAACAGTGTCTGCTTATAACAAAGTTGGGAAAGTGAAGTGGCCTAAAAACTTATTTTCCTAATCTTCAGTTTTGATGGCAAGCAACTGCTGTATATGATTAGAACAGTGGTTTTCAACCTTGGCTGTACCTTGATATCAGCTGGGCAGCTTTAAAAAATAATACCCCTAGCCTAGAGATTCTGGCTTAATTGGTCTGGGATATGACCTAGATCTTGATAGTTTCAAGAGCTCCCCACCTGATTCTAATGTACATCCAAGATTGAGAATCACTAGTTTAGAAGCTGTTTGATGTCTTTAAAGGAAAAACTAATTTTTCTGGTCTCTCTCTCTCATTGTACCCCTCTTCAACAGAAGCTACACAGTCATAAGGGGGAAATCTAAAATGAGGAAAAGTGGATGTAGATCTGTGAAGGAGGGGTTATGATATAGAAACAGTTTATATGGTTAAGCCCAATTGTTTAATTCCTGTTGAAAGATATATATTTTTAATCCTATTTTGCCATTATTACTTTCTTTATTTTGACTTGCATTATTGTTAATTCGCTTTGCATGGTGTTATCTAGAAACGAAACAGGTAGCATAGAAAGTTCAAAAAGCCTATGATTGTTTAATTTTTTCCCTATTAAACTCTTGTTTATATTTTCATTCAGTGCTTTGCTCTCCTGGTGTCACCTTCATGATAACAGTTCGGCTTTGATCAGTAAAATAAATAACCTTCTGGATGCAGTTGGCCATTGTGAAGAGTATGTGCTCAAACATCTGAAATCAATCACCCCACAGCCACATGTTGTAGATTTATTGGACTCCATTCAGGACATGGACCTTTGTCATGTATCTCCAGCTGAGAAAAATATTTGTGAAGCTGAAGATGAAAGACTCTGTGAAAATAATGCTGAGTTTAACAAAAGCTGTAGCAATAGTCTTAGTGGGGTAGATTGTTCATCTTTAGAATGTTGTGGAACACAGGAGCATACACATTCTGAAAACCCAAGCCTCACTTGGATTTTAGAACAGACAGCTAGTTTGGTAAAACAGCTGGGAGTATCAGTAGACATATTACAGCACCTCAAACAACTATGAAAATTATCTTCACTTTTCTGGTGAAAATAATGTTCAGAACATTCCTTGGAGCATTTTGTTTCTTAACAAGTTTACCAAAATTTGTACTGGTTTCTACATTGAACCCTTCACTAGCCTTTGTGGAAGTTTGAAACATCTTCAGAGTTAACACTATTAAATGTAATATAAGCTCTTTTTCTCTGTCACTGGTAATTTTTACAAAGTTTATGATATGCTCAGAAATTCCAGTTATCATCATCATTTCCAGATTTCTGATCAAAACCATTTTCAGACTCACTAGCAAAAGTGAATCAAACATTTTGTAAGGGCCTAACCCTACTTTCTGCTCTATCACCATCATTTAGTTAGGACCTCATTTCCAGCTAGTCAGACCAAGGTTACCAAATATAATGGCTAACATCGTAAATAGATAAACACACATAAATTTGTAGATAATATATTGAAAATAAGAGGCCATAAGTATAAAAAAACTGAAGATGTGTTTATACTGATTAAAAACATGCTATAAACACTAAAATTGATCTTAGTTTAGTGTTAATTAAAAGTAAAAACATACAATTCCCTGAAAAATACAGAAAATAACTTATTTTCTACCCTTTTTAAAATCAGTGATTCTTTGCAGCATTTTCTCTATTGTGGGCAATTTAAAAGATATAGAGTATCAAAAAGGGCAACTCTGTCATGCTCTTAGCTCCATGTGCCATTTGACCACTTGGCTCTGAAATATGTCATTACAGCTATGGAATCTTAGGTATTCAATGTTGGTGCTGAGGCCACCAGCATTTTTTGTGATTGATAGGAACTGGGCAACTAAATTCCCCTACCTGCATCCTTATTTCATTTATATCCTAACCCAGCTTGCTAACTGCTTTGTGGTAAACCAGAATGAAAGCTTTGAACCAAATCCAAGTTGTGGTCCTCGCCCATCTTCAAACTAAAATTAAAGGTTTGTGTTCCAGTCTGAGACTGAAGATATATTAATATATATATAGGAATAGAGTCTAACGTAATTCTAAGTCTTATTCTTAATTTCAGAGCAGTGGATGAAGTAAATATCATATGCTATATTAATAAACCACCAATCAGACTTCTTGCTCTGCAGAAATTCTCCAAGCTCCGTCATGCAGATACTTCACAATCTTAGTTGGCTCTCTACCGCCTTTCCCCAGCAATCTTACTCCTCTTCCTCATTCCTGGCTGTTCTGCCCAGAATACTGGAAGAGGAGTCTTGTCACTGTCTCAGCTTGTTTTCTTCCCATTCATATTCCTCAGCTTCAAACTGCTTTTGGCTAAGGTCACTGATGGCCAAAGTCACACAACTGCCCCTGACTTGTTTTAGTTCTGTCACATGTCTCCATCACTGGACATGAACCATCTCTACTTTTATAATCCTTCCTTCTACAGCAGCTCTTTTTCTTATTATTACTACTTATTTCTACTGTACCAGTTATACACTTGAATTTTTCTGGGCCCAAGCAACATTGTCATTCTGATCTCTCATCCTGCCTCCTGCTCCCCAAACACTCCACACTTTTTTATGGATGATGCTATAATATTTTATGGACAATTCCCAACTTGCAATATTACTCATTCCTGACTGTTCTGCCCAGAATACTTTCCCACATCCCTCCTTACCAGAAAAGTCCTATTTATCCTCCAATTACAGCTCAAATTTCAACTTCGTCAGTTAGTTGCTCTTCCCAGTGTTCCCTCTGCGTTGTTTTGAGAATCTCAGACTTCATATTTTTTTCAAGAAAGTGCCTTATTGATTGTTACATCACCAGTACTTAGCACCATACCCTGTACATAGATGCATAGGTGGTATTTGGTGAGATAAAAAATATTTAAATGCATCTACCAATGAAAATCAGAAATTTAAGAAAGTCCACATCTACAAATTGTGTTGTCTTATACCAGGCTAATTGTAACGTATTTACCAATCACTAAAAGAATTGCACTAATGAATAAATTACATTAAAATATATTTAAAGATACAAAATTTTGTTTATAGTACAGTTTCACATAATAAAGGACAGTAGGAAACTGCAAAAAACCCTGGAAGAACACCCAAAAATATTAGTTTCTATCAGGATGCCTGGTGCATAGTATCTAATAACTGTAAGAAGGAGTTGGAAGAAATAGAGGAATGGAAAAGTAATAGCTAACACATGGTGTTAACGATATGCAGGCAGTATTCTGAAAACTTTACATATATTAATTTGTTTAATCCTCATAACCCTATCAGCATAACTATTACGTATCCTAGAGATGAGGCAACCGGGACACTGAGAAGACTGGGTAACTTGTCCATTTCACAGCCACCAAATGGTCCAGTTGAGATTTAAAGCAAGGCAAATCTAGCTCCACCGTTTGTTCAGGATAGAGGCACACAAAATAATAACATTAGCAGTCATTGTGTTTAATAGAGGGACTAAGCTATATTTCCCCCTTGCTGTTAATTTCTAGTTTTGTGCACTTTTCAAATCTAACCCAGCAGCAATTATTGTTTATAATGTGTATATTAGTCAGCAGCTACAAAGAACAAATAAATTACCAGAAGTTTGTTTGCTGTCCATCTAGAAAAAGAAATACCATTCCCTATTGGAGAGAATCTTTGTCATCTAGGAAGTGGTATAGAAAGGTGTCTTGAGCCTTTACAGAAACTAAATTCTCCTTGGAGGCCTTAGACTTTCCATACTCTTGGTGGAGAGGATAATTTGTTTCACTCATTTTGTGATGCTTCTTAGCTCTCATAAACTATTTAACTTTCAAAAACAGACGTTAGCTCACTACAAATATATGTATTGCCAAAAAGAGCCGAAAGTCCTTAACATACACCAAACTCCATTTTCTTGTCCTATAAATTGTCTGATCTTTCCAGAAAGTAGGATAACAAAGTAAGATCAGAACTACCTACAATGGATTCAATTCTGCAAAAGTTAAATCCTGGTGCTTTCAGGCATGCCTATGTAATACACCATTCAGAGAGGCGCTAGACTTCGGGGTCATATTTCCAAGGAGCTGCTAAATTCATTCAAGGCCACTGGGTGGTGCTGGTGCATCCTGATTTGTAATGTGCTCTATGCTGCGTTTTCATGGTCACAAGGACAAAAAGCCAATGATTATCCCTAAAGCTGTGCCAGTCATTTGTCAGGTTGGGTGGGTGAGGATAGTTTTCTGAGGTATGTCCAAAAATGCAAGAAATTAGAGTACCCACCATTTTTTAATTCTAGGCTGATATTTTTTCTAAATCAAAGTAACCAATCATAAGGAAACCCATTCACAAGAAAAAAAGCACATTTTATTCTCTCCAAACCCCTGAGGCCTAAAAATAAACACCTAGAATCCAAAGCATACAGCCTTTAATCAGAAGTGATATAAAATTATAATTTCACAGGCATGAAGCATCTTTGTCAGGCAGGACTGTACCTAAACTAAAAATCAATCTCTCTCTCTCTCTCTCTCTCTCTCTCTCTCTCTCTCTCTCTCTCTCTCTATATATATATATATATATATATATAATGTCATCTGCAAACAATGACAGTTTTACTTCTTTCCCATTTGGATGCTTTGTTTCTGATTGCTGTGGCTAGGACTTCCAGTACTATCTATAATAATAAAAGCATAATATGCTAATTAGACTGAACACCCTTCCGGACGACCTTCCAGACGAAGCTGCAGTGGCAGGGGCCAAGGCAGAGGTGGAGACCAAGCCCCCTTGCATGAATTTCGCACATTGGGCCTCTAGTGTTGAATGAAAATGGTGAAATTGAACAAACTGTCTTGTTCCTGATCAAAAGGAAAACACTTGTAGTTTTTGCCTATAGAGCAGCGGTTCTCAACCTGCGGGTCACGACCCCTTTGGCAGTCGAACGACCCTTTCACAGGGGTCGCCTAAGACCATCCTGCATATCAGATATTTACGTTACAATTCATAACAGTAGCAACATTACAGTTATGAAGTAGCAACGAAAATAATTTTATGGTTGGGTCACAACATGAGGAACTGTATTTAAAGGGCCAGAAGGTTGAGGACCACTGCTATAGAGTATGATGTTGGCTACTGGTTTGTCATATTTGACCTTTATTACATTGAGGTATGTTCCCTCTAGTCCCACTTTGCTGAGCGTTTTTTATCATAAACTAGAGGCCTGGTGCACAAAATTTATACACTCAGCGGTGGGGGGTCCCTCAGCCCGGCCTGCACCCTCTCACAGTCAGGGAGCCCTCAGGGGATGTCTGACTGCTGGCTTAGCACTGGCTGCCATGGAGGTGGGGGAGGCGGGAGAGGCTCCCGCCACCACAGCTCGCCAGTCCTTAGACTGGCTTCTGGCTGAGCAGTGCTCCCCCTGTGGCAGCACACTGACCACCAGGGGGCAGCTCCTGCATTGAGCATCTGCCCTGTGGTGGTCAGTGTGCATCATAGCAACCGGCCCTTCTGCCATTCGGTCGATTTGCATATTACACTTTTATTATATAGAATAAGTACTGGATTTTATCAAATGTTTTTTCTGCATCTATTGATTATGTGATTTTTTTTAAAAATATACTTTATTGATTTTTTATAGAGAAGAGGGGAGAGGGATAGAGAGTTAGAAACATCGATGAGAGAGAAACATCGATCAGCTGCCCCCTGCACACTCCCCACTGAGGATGTGCCCGCAAACAAGGTACACGCCCTTGACCGGAATCGAACCTGGGACTCTTCAGTCCACAGGCCGACGCTCTATCCACTGAGCCAAACCAGCCAGGGCGATTATGTGATTTTTATCCTTCACTTTGTTTGTGGTATATCACATTTATTGATTTGTAGATATTGTAACAACCTTGCAATTCAGGAATAAATCCCTTAATTATGGTGTAAGATCTGTTTAATGTATTTCTAGATTTGATTTGCTAATATTTTGTTGAGAATTTTAGCATCTATATTCATCAGGGATATTGGTTTATAATTCTTTTCAGTGTTGTTATCTGGTCTTAGAATTAGGATAATGCCTGTTTCATAAAATGAACTTGGGAGTTTTTCCTCCTCTTAAATTTTTTGGAATAGTTTGAAAAGGACAGGTGTTATTTCTGCTGTGAGTGATTGGCAAAATTCACCTGTGAAGCCATCCAGTCCAGGACTTTTGTTTGTCGGAGTTTTTTTTATTACTGCTTCAAATTCACTAGTGTCAACTCAGATTCTCTGATTCTTCCTGATTTAGTTTTGGAAGATTATATATTTCTAGGAATTTATCCATTCCTTCTAGATTGTTGAATTTGTTGGCATATAGCTGTTCATAACATTTTCTTACAATTATTTGTATCTGTGTTGTCAGTTGTTACTTCTCCTCTTTCATTTCTGATTTTATTTATGTGGGTCCTCTCTTTCTTTATTGATGAGTCTGGTTAAAGATTTGTCAACCTTGTTTATCTTTTCAAAGAACCAGCTCTTAGTTTCCTTGATCTTTTGTATTGTCTTTTTAAACTCTATTCCTTTTTATTCTTCCTGCTCTATCTTTATTATTTCCGTCCTTCTATTCACTTTGGATTTTGTCATTCTTTTTAAAGTTCCTTTAAGTGTACAGTTAGATTGTTTATTTGAGATTCTTCTTGTTTCTTGAAATAAGCCATTAATGCTATGAATTTCCCTCTTAAGACTGGTTTTGCTATGTCCCATAGAATTTGGGTTGTTGTGTTCTCATTTTCATTTGTTTCAAAGTATCTTTTTATTTCATCCTTGATCTGATTGTTAACCTATTCTTTGATTAGTAGCATGTTTATTAGCCTCCATGTCTTTGTGTGTTTTTCAGTTTTTTGACTGGACTGATTTCTAGTTTCATACCATTATGATTAAAAAAAAGATGCTTAATATGATATCAGTCTTCTTAAATTTAGAGAATTGTTTTGTATCCTAGAAAATGATCTATGAGCAACTTGAAAAGAATATATACTTGCTGCTTTGGGGAAAAATACTCTGAAGATATTAGTTAGATACATCATATCCAGTATGCAATTTAAGGTCTCTGTTTCCTTGTTGATTTTCTGTCTGGAAGATCTATCCATTGATGTCAATGGGGTGTTAAAATCCTCTACTATGATTTTATTATTGTCAATCTCTTCCTTTTTGTCCATCAATATTTTCTTTACATATTTAGATGCTTTTATATTGGGTGCATAAATGTTTACTAGGGTTATATTCTCTTGTTGGATTGTTCCCTTTATTATTATGTAGTGCTCTTCTTTGTCTCTTATTATAGCCATTGTTGTAAAGTCTGTTTTGTCAGATCTAAGTATTACTATATTCCAGCTTTTTAAAATTTCCGTTTGCATGAAATATTGTTCTCCATTCCTTTACTTTTAGTCTGTGTATATCTTTCATTCTGAGGTGGGTCTGTTATAGACAGCATATATATGGGCCTTGTTTTCTTATCCATTCAGTTACTCTATGTCTTTTGATTGGAGCATTAAGCTGTTTACATTTAAATTGATTATTGGTAGGTACATATTTATTGCCAATTTATTCTTTAAACTTTGTTCTCCTGTCTCCTCCTCCTCCCTTTCTTCTTCTTCTTCAAGTAGGCACTTAAGCATTTCTTGTAATATTGGTTTGGTGGAAACAAACTCCTTTAACTTGTTCTTGTCTGGGAAGCTCTTTATTTCTGCTTCAAATTTAAATAACAGCATTGCTGAGTAAAGTAGTCTTAGTTACAGGTCCTTGCTTTTCATCACTTTAATTATTTCATACCATTCCATTCTGGCCCGAAATGTTTCTGTTAAGAAATCAACTGACTGTCTTATGGGAGCTCACTTGCTTTTCTCTTACTGCTTTTAAGATTTTCTCTTTGTCTTTAATCCTTGGCATTTTAATTATGATGTGTCTTGGTGGGGACCCCTTTGGGTTCATTTTGTTTGGAACTCTCTGCACTTCTTGGACTTGTATGTCTATTTCCTTCACCAGATTAGGGAAGTTTTCGGTCATTACTTCTTCAAATAGGTTCTCAATCCCTTGCTCTCTCTCTTCTCCCACTGGTGCCCCTGTAATGCGGATGTTATTATGCTTCATGTTGTCCAAAAAGTCCCTTTAACTATCCTCATTCTATTTAATCATTTTTTTCTTTTTGCTGTTCTGATTGGGTGTTTTTTCTACATTGTTTTCCAAATCACTTATTTGACCCTCTGCTTCATCAAACCTACTGTGTATTCTTCCCAGTGTATTTTTCATTTCAGATATTGTATTATTCATTTCTGATTGGTTCTTTTTTATGGTTTCTATGTCCTTTCTCATGCTGTTGAGCATCCTTTTAACCATTACATTGCACTCTTTATCTGATAAATTGCTTGCTTCCATTTCATTTAGCTCTTTTTCTGGATATTTCTCTTGTTATTTCATTTGGGGCCTGATTCTTTGTCTCCCTATTTTGGATCCTAGTCTTTGTGTGGTGGCCTTATGTAGTAGGTGTCCTTGGGGGTCCAATAGTGTAGTCTCCTTGATCACCTGAGTTGGGTACTCCAGGAATGTCCTTTGTGTGGGTCATATGGACCATCTTTTTGTTATTGAGTCTTGATTGCTATTGGCCTATTCATGCATGGATTGACCCTCAGGTTGGCTGACTCTGAGGCTCAACCCTGACCATCACATGAGAGCTTCTGTGCAGGTGCTGACCATCTGAAGCAGAATTTACCTCAGCTATGTTTGGTGCCTGCTGATATCATCCTTTAGATATCTTGCTTGTAAAGCTAATTAGATCCTGCTCTGATGTTATCTGATGCTGGCCACTGGGTGTGTTGGTTCTGGGTCTCTTGGGAAGGAATCTGGTGCAGGAAAATGTAAGATGCTGTCTGTGACTGGCCCTGGGCAACCTCTTTGTAGCTACAAGTGATCCAGAGTTTGTGGCTACTTCTTCAGGGCCTGAGTGTGTGAAGGACGGAAGGTTGAAGCTACATACCAAGACTGGCTTTTACCAGCACCAGGCTCGGGACAGGTCAGTAAGAGTCTTAAGGCACTCAGAGATCTGCCTCTGCTGGCCTTCACCTACGGGCTGCTCTTAGGCTCCGTCACTGAAAGAGCCTCTGGCAGTACTCATATCGCTGGCGGTAGATTCACAATGAGTCACCAGGTTGGGGCAAGTGGTTGTCCCGTAAGGGGGAGGTGCTGGTCAGGCTTCCAGGAAGATGGTGTTGTGGCCCCCAGGCTGATACTACACATAGGGGAGTGTTCCACCCAAGAAAGATGGTGTCTGAGGTATAGAAAAATGATTCAGCACAGGGATCGTGGTGCCTGTCCCTTCAGCTCTCTTGCCAGAAACATAAACCCCAGACTCTCCTCATGCAACTCTAATCTGCTCCACTCCTCCTTTGAAGGAGCCCAGGGTGAGTGTCTGTGAATGAAATTTTGTGTGTCAGCCTTTTAAGAGGGCACCTGGTCTCTAGTGGACTCTCATCTCTCCCTGATGAACAGAACCACTAATTTTCACAGCCAGATGTTATGTGGGCACCTTTTCCTGGCCCTCGTGCTCTGGACTGGGAGCCTGGCTTGGGGTCTAGACACCATGCTTCTCAGGGGGAACCCCTTTAGCTGAAATATTGCTCCAGAACTTCAGCCACTGCCCATGAAAGCAGGGCGAGTCTCCTTGACCCACCAGACACACAAGTACCCTTGGAGACCGTCCCTCAAAGTCCCATCAGTGCAGGATCCTGAAAGAAGAGTCTTTGCACCCATTACCCAGTTGCATACCAATAGTAATATGCGGCTATTCTTCAGGGGAGGGATTGAGAAGTTTTAGTCTTTAAATGATCGAGGTCAGTGTCTGTGGCAGATGGAGTTTGCACCCCTCTATCAAATAAACTGCCCTGAATGTCTATTCCTGACAAAAGGCAAATCAAATTCCTTCCAGGGCACTGGGAGGACCCTCCAAAGGTCAGAGTGTTTCTCTGGTAGGAATCCAGAAAGGTGGAGAGAAGAAATCTAGCTGCTCTCAACATGAGAATGGAGGCCTGTCTGAACAAGCGGGGCCAGTCTCAGCCCATAGGAGAGTTATGTTCACGGTGGGCAGATGGTGAACTTTTTTTTGAGGGCATCCATTCACCCAAGGAGCTAGCAGGGTTAGTCACGTGAAAGTGAAGAACTGAGGTCAACCGAAAGTGAGGAACTGGAGTCCATCCTTGCTCACATGTAGGAGCCCATTCCTACCGGGGGCCTGGGAGATTTGGCAGAGGCTGGGTTGAGGCTGAGCATAGAATGGATTTCCCTTATGGAGTTCAGGGTCAGGTCAACCTACAGTCAGTGACTCTGCTCTAAACTATAGTGAAGTACCACTCAACACTCCCTAGGATGGCTATCATGTATTTTTTTTTTTTTAAAGCATTCATGAAAATGTTTAAAAGTTGGACCCCTCGTGCAGTGCTGGTGGAAATGTAAAATAGTGGGGCCACGTTGGAGAGCGTTTTTGGCAGTTCCTCAACATGCTAAGCATAGAGTTCCACTTCTGGGTGCATGCCCAAAGGAAATGGACACATGTTCACGCAGAAAAACTTGTACACAGTGTTGGTGGCAGCGTTGTTCATGAGGGCCTCAAACCGGAAACAGCGCAAATACTCATCAACTGATGAATGGGAAAACAAAATGTGGTACACCCATACACTAGAATATAGCATACATAAAACTTTAAAATGTTATGCTAAGTGAAAGAAGCCAGTCACAAAAGACCAGATATTATGACTGCATTTATGTGAAATGTCCCGTTCCCCCCCCCCCCATAGGCATATCCCTGGAGGCATATCCCTACAGAAAGCGGATTAGTGACTGCCTGGGGCTAGGGCGGGAGGACAGGGAGGGGGCACTGGGAAAGCGTATGGGATTGTCAAGGGCGGGGTGGGGAGGAGACATATGTAATACTCTTTGTAATACTTTAAGCAATAAAACAATTTAAAAAAATAAAGTCCTACAATTGGCTCCTCTCTGGGGGGGCGTGGCTAGACCCTGGGGGGCGTGGCTGGACTCAGCTTACTGCCCGGCTGAGGAGCAGGAGCCCACACTGGTGGCTGTTACACGTGGAGGCATGGAGGAGTGCGCTTGCATCTGCGGCGTGGGCTCTTCGCGGGGACGTCGATGTCGTCAGCAGCGCCAAGGCCCAGCTGAGACGGCAGCGGCTGAGGGCAAGCCGGCCCGGCACCAGCAGAAAAGCGCCTCGAGGCGGAGGCGCAGGAGGAGGCGGAGGCGGAGGCGGAGGCGGCAGCGGCGGCGGCAGCGCGGTGCCGCGCGGGGAGTGGAGGAATCGCGAGCCCCATGCCGCCCCCCGCACTGCTCGCTGCAGGACCTGCCCGTGGAGATGCTGGTGGAGATCTTCGCCTGGCTCCCCGGCACCGATCTGCTCAGCCTGGCCCAGGCCTGCACCAGATTCCACCACATCCTGCACATGGACAGCATCTGGAGACGGCGCTGCCGCGAGGAGTTTGGCGTTGGTGAAAACTTGCAGAACCTGGAGACGATCGGTATGTCTTATCGAGAAGTCTATGCGAAGCTGTTCCACCCGTACAGACACACTTTGGGATTGTGGCAGCTAGGTAATGACTATAGAAGACTGCTGAATGTCGCGGTGGACGGCTTAGGCATTACTGGTTGGACGTACGGACCTTCCCTTGACACCCACGTGGATGGCCCAATGCAGTTCGAGCCCGCGTTCAGAATTCGCCTGACGGAGCGGAAATCAGCCGCGGTGGAGTGCATGGAAGGCCGCCACCGCAGGCCCCACCACCGCCACATGCAGATTGAGAAGAACAGGTTCACCACCCAGTGCGACAGGACAGACCACGTAACAGATTCACCAACGCGGCTTAGGGGAGGACGGGGGCTGGAGCTGTCGGAGGAGGACCTACAGGGGTTTGACTTCCTGACCTACCACCGCCTCTACCTCCCGCCGAGCCACCCGGACGACCTCATCAGGCCAGGCCTCTTCCAAGGCAAATACGATCCCTTCGGCCTATCGATTGTCATGCTCAGCTTCCATGGGGAGTATGCCAGGGTCACGAAGGTCACGGGATACTCCAACCAGATATTAGAGATCCACCTCAAGCGACGCATCCAGCTGCGAGATGGCGAGATCTTCCGCAACTTCAACGAGCTCTCCCGCGTGGTCCAGGAGATTGACAAGCAGGTGATCCGGGAGCAGCAGCAGCAGCAAAAAAACAGGACTGAGGAAAGCAAGGGCCATGGCTGGCAGAGCCCTGCCCAGCCCAGCGGCGGGGAGTCCGGGGCTGCAGCTTCGGAGGAGCAGCCGGCCCCGTTTGTTCTGCCTGTGGGCGTGAGCTCAATAGACCAGAACTACCCCCGGACCTGCAGGATGTGTCTCTGTGCTAGCGTGGACATTGTTATTATTGCCCGCCATGGCTTCCCCTACTGCATGCACTACCCTGGAGTCTTCATCCTGTTCGATGAGGACCACTTCGGGTTCATCTGTCTGGAGCTGAATTACTTCATCCTGTACGGCAGAGTCCAGAACACCTTCCAGAATGTGGAGGCACCATCCCCGCACGCTTTTCTGGAGATGCTCTCGAACATTCAGTCCGGATTCCCTGGTAGGAGCAGCTTGCATGCACTTTGAAGATTTGACCTTCTGACCAGGTTACCCACCTTTGTTTGTTTTTTAATCCTCACCCGAGGATATTTCCCCATTGATATTTAGAGAGAGTAGGGGAGAGAGGGAAAGACAGAAATAATCCATGTGAGAGAAACACATCAGTTGTTTGCCTCCTCCCCAAGCCCGGACCAGGGCCAGGCTGGGTAGGAGCCAGCAATTGAGGTAGAAATAAACCTTAGACCAGTGGTTCTCAACCTTCCTAATGCTGTGACCCTTTAATACAGTTCCTCATGTTGTGGTGACCCTCAATTTCATTGTTACCAATTGAACATAATTAAAGCATAGTGATTAATCACAAAAGCAATATGTCATTATGTATGTGTTTTCCGATGGTCTTAGGCCTTTTGCATCCGCAGGTCCAGGCTCTATCCACTGAGCCAAGCCAACTAGGGCTGAGCATGTCTTTTTTTTTTTTTTAATTGTTTTATTGCTTAAAGTATTACTAAGAGTATTACATATGTCTCCTTTTTTTTTTAGCCGCCCTTGACAATCCCCTGGCCTCCCCTACCCCCCAGTGTCTTATGTCCATTGGTCATGCTCATATGCATGCATACAAGTCCTTTGGTTGATCTCTTACCCACTCCCCTCCTGCCCCCCAACCCTCCCCAGCCTTCCCGCTGTAGTTTGACAGTCTGTTCGAGGCTGCTCTGCCTCTTGAGCATGTCTTTTTAAAAAGAAAGAAAGAAAAAGGAAAGATCCTAAAATTAGATAGTGGTAATTGTTAGATTGTACAACTCTGAATATAATAAAAACCACTGAATTGTACATTTTATTTTTTTAATTAAATCTTTATTGTTCAGATTAAAAACAAAAAAAGAGAGCAGGGCGAGCCCTTTCTATGACTCTGTTCTTCCTACCAGTCTTGATGTAGCTTCTTCTGTAAATCCTTGGCTATCAGACCTCTCTTCAGCTAGTCTTCAGTTGGTTACTCAGGATGATTATTCTATAATTTGGTTGTAATTCCAGTTTGGTCTTGGGAGGAGGGGAGTGTAGCTTTTACCTATTTCACTGCCATCTTGATCTCTTGTAAGGGAATATTTTAATCAATTCATTATTTTTAAAAAAATATCTTTATTATTGAGAGTACAATTCATTTTTTTAAATCTCTCAACTTCTCATACTGTTTATAATACACATACAAATTGATTTTTTCTTTTATTGAAGTTGATATATTTATCATGCCTTTAATAAAAATAAAACTATTGAAAAATATATTCAACATTCTCTTAAGTAATACATTTTTTAAAAGTAAATTGGGGCCCTAACTGGTTTGGCTCAGTGGATGGAGCGTTGGCCTGTGGACTGAAGGGTCCTAGGTTCAATTCCCATCAAGGGCATGTGCCTTGGTTGCGGGCACATCCCCAGTGGGAGGTGTGCAGGAGGCAGCTGATCGATGTTTCTCTCTCATCGATGTTTCTAACTCTCTATCCCTCCCCTTCCTCTCTGTAAAAAACCAATAAAATATTTTTTTAAAAAGTAAATTGGGTCTTTCAGTCTGTTATATGATCTGAACAATGTTTTTTAAAATGTGAGGCTAAAATTTCTATATTTAAATTTTTATTTCTCTTGATTACTGAAAATAAAAGGATAATCCATTTTTATAATTAATTCTGTTATGAGCCTTTTTGTTTTTCATAATTAAAGGTAACTTACTAAAGTCCCTGACATCTCTGTAACAAAATACTCTCCTGTTTGCCAGGAGGCCCTATGACGCCTATCAAGGGTAATTTCAGGAATTTGGGTGGCAGCATCTACATCAGTAACAAAGCTACTGCAGTCGGTCAGCATTTAGGGAACTGCAGCCTTATTTCAGGAAGCTCTGCTTGGAGGCAGTAGGCAGATGAAAAGTCACATATCACCACAAGACATAAGACGATGAATCACCAAAATCCCCTTTCCAAACCTTGGGATTGAGAGACAGATAACACCTGACATTTGTCACTAGTAAAATATCTATGTGATTACACAAACAGGAGGTTCCAAATACAAAGGAATATAATTTCAGTACAGTTCACCCCCATCAATGTGAAAATCTGTGTCTATAAATGAATTATTAATGAATATATACTATGTAAGTGTTTAGTATTTCAAGTATTTACAAAGACACTGTACTAAATACTGTAAACCATAATAACATAGTTAACATCATAATCAAACATAATTACATGTTAATCATTTTAATTACTGGAGATATTTTTAAAGAAATTATCATTTATATGCATCTCACAGAGTTGTCATGAAATTAAATGATAAAATAATGGTACTTATTGAGCACTTAAAATGTGTCAAATACTAGCTAAGGGATTTACATAGACTGTTATTTTATTCTCATTAAGTGATAATATTATTCCTATTTTACAGATAAATAGCCAGTAAGATTCAACCCATATCTGCCAGGCTCCAAAGCCTGTCCTTTTAATTACTATGATCTTTAGAAATATCCTCTCAGGCCTTTACAATGGAATGCCCACTTTTTTACAGAGCTTAATATAACACTTGCATTGGCTGCCTTTCTTTCCTTTCTTCTCTCCCTACCTCTCTACTGTTAAACAAAAAAATTTAACTTGCTGGACAGGAAGTCTTTTTAAAAGTAAGGGTTAGGTCATTGCTAGAAAAAAATAAAATAAATAAAAAGAACACTCGTCCTAGGTCATGGAGTCTAAACCACCAGCAGTTTGGCTGGGTAGAAAATACATGTTCAGCCCTGACCGGTTTGGCTCAGTGGATAGAGCATCGGCCTGTGGACTCAAGGGTCTCGGTTCGATTCCGGTCAAGGGCATGTACCTTGGTTGTGGGCACAACCCCAGTCGGGGGTGTGCAGGAGGCAGTTGATCGATGTTTCTCTCTCATTGATGTTTCTGACTCTATCCTTATCCCTTCTTCTCTGTGGAAAATCAATAAAAAATATTTTAAAAAAGGAAAGAAAAGAAAATACATGTCCAACATCCAAGAGTTCTGCAAGCACTTTAATGCACCAAGTCATTCTGAAGGAATTTACATTAGCTATTGGGGGTGGGAGAAGGTGAAGCAGGGCTAGTTCTGTAGCAGAGTCTGCAGCACAATGAGTTAAGCTCATGTGTGAAGAAGATGCGGAGCTCCTGGGGTTTTCAGGGGCCTGGCTATTCTCTCTTGGGTAATCACAGACATCACCTGAAAATTAATCCTAAACTCTAACATATGTACGTTTGTTTTTTAGGGTATTTTTCTTTTATGTAAAACATCAAAAAATTTTAAATTACAATATTATATTTGTTTTATGTGTACAACATAGTGATTATACATTTACATAACTTATGATCACCCCAGTTAAGTCTAGCACCTACCTGGCACCATACATATTATCTAATCTAATAAAAGAGAAACATGGTAATTAGCATACGACCGCTACTCTTTTCATTGGCTAATCAGGGCAATATGCAAATTAACTGCCAACAAAGATGGCGGTTAATTTGCATATGTAGGCACAATGCAGGGAGGTGAAAGGGAAAGCAAGAAGAAGCCCCCTGTCACTGACAGTGATCGGAAACCCAGCGGGGAGCTAAGAGCCGGGGGGCAGGGCAAAGGCGGCCATGGTCGGAGAATTGGGCGCCTTTGCCGCCCTGGCCAGTGATAGCGGGAAGTAGGGGTGGAGACAGCAATGGGAGCTGGGCACGGGCGAAGCTGGTAGTCCCAGGAGCTAGGGGTCCCTTGCCTGGGCCTAAAGCGGAGCCCGCAATCGCTGGGCCACTGCCGCTGCAGGTTCCCACTGCCCAGGCCGGACGCCTCGGCCAGAGGCGTTAGGCCTGGGCAGGGGCGGAGCCTGCAACTGCAGGGAGCTGGGGGTCCCCTGCCCAGGCCTGACGCCTCTGCCAGAGGCCTCAGGCCTGGGCAAGGGGCCGATCCGGTGATCGGCGATCCGAGGGTGATGAGGGTCAACTCCTCTGGCCGAGGCATCAGGCCTGGGCGGGGGCCGGAGCCGGTGATTGGGGGGATATGAGGGTCCCCTTGCCCAGGCCTGAAGCCTGGGTCAGAGGCATCAGGCTTAGGCGGGGGGTGGAGCAAGCGATCAGAGGGAGATGGTGGTCCCCTGCCCAGGCATGATTCCTGGGCCAGAGGCATCAGGCCTGGGCGGGGGTCAGAGCCAGTGATGGGGGGAGATGGGGACCCCTTGTCCAAGCCTGACACCTCTGGTGGAGGCGTCAGGCCTGGGCAAGGGGCTGATCAGGCGATCGGAGGGTGATGGGGGTCGACACCTCTGGCCGAGGCATCAGGCCTGGGCGAGGGCGGAGCCAGTGATGGGGGGGAGAGGGGGGTCCCCTGGCCAGGCATGAATCCTGGGCCAGAGGCATCAGGCCTGGGCCAGGGGCGGAGCCAGCAATCAGAGGGGTCTGGGGGTCCCCTGCCCAGGCCTGACGCCTGGGCCAGAGGCATCAGGCCTGGGCAGGGGGGGCAGAACCAGTGATCGGGGGGAAATGAGGGTCCCCTGCCCAGGCCTGACGCCTCTGGCAGAGGTGTCAGGCCTGGGCAAGGGGCCGATCCTGGGATTGAAGGGTGATGGGGGTCAACGCCTGAGGGCTCCCAGTATGTGAGAGGGGGCAGGCTGGGCTGAGGGACACTCCCCACACACACACACACACACACACACACACACACACACAGTGCACGAATTTCGTGCACTGGGCCCCTAGTCCTATATAATAAAAGGCTAATATGCAAATTGTCCCCTCGGGAGTTTGACTGACTGGGAGTTTGACCACTTGCTGTGATGTGTGCTGACCACCAGGGGGTGGCACAGAACGAAGGAAGGCCCTAGCCAGCAGCTGGCAGCCAGGGAAAACAAGGCCTCAATCAGCCCTGATCGCTGGCCAGGCCTAGGGACCCTACCCGTGTACTAATTTTATGCACCAGGCCTCTAGTTTATTATATTTCCTATGCCCCATGACTATTTTGTATCTGCCAATTTGTACTTTTTAATCATTAAAGGGCATTTTTCTATGGAGATGTAAAACTCTAGATACTTTTCCTAGGTATGTATTAGATTAAAACTCTGGCGTTTGAGTTTTTTTCCTTTTAGCACTTTATGCCATTCAGTTGCCTTCTGGCTCCTGGTAACAGCCTGTTGTCATTATGTGTCACCGTTGCCCTGTTTATAATGCGCTGGTTTTCCCTGGCTGCTCTAAAGAATTTCCCTTTAATTTTGGATTTCAGTGGTTTGATTATGACATGCCGAGGTGTGGTTTGCCAAGTATCTTGGATGT